TAAACGGATAATCGATGATGCTGAAGTTTTTCTAACGCGCCAACGTGAGATACGACGTCGCGAATTATCATCACTCTTGTGTCTTATCAATGCGAGCGAACGTGTTGTACTTACTTTCAGATAAAATGCAAGGTTCATATAAATATTTTGGAATTGTACGTTAAGAATTTGTAAAAAAGAGAGAGAGAGAGATATTTATCTTATATATTAAAAAAAGTCACTCCTAAATTAGTGAAAGAACAATCTCTGTACATTCAAAAGACTTTTTACAAATTCTATTTTAGACTTTTTACAAATTCGATTTTACAAAATCTATTTTGTTTGTGATATTTGATATTTGATATTACAAAATACGCACATTCTTAAATTAAAGATTATTTAGAGATATTTGAAAAATTGCATCCAAATAATTATTTGCAGAAGATATCTGCTATATTTTATCAAACGATTTAGATAAATTATAAATAATACAATATGTGCAATTTATATGCAATTTATATTAAAATAATGCTTTAATTGACCATACGTTCGTAAATAGTTTAGGAGATTTAATGAAATGAGCGATATTTTTTTTTTTATTTTATTGGGTGTGAAATGAGTAAGTTGCATAGATTTAAACGATACAATTTTAAAATCAAGCCAACAGTCAAATATTAATTTATAATGGCTTAAAAACTAAAGTTAACGTTGTACTAGTTACGAAATAAAACAAGAAATCAATTTTATCGAGAGAGAAAGAGAGATATGAATTTAATCGGCGAATTGACTTGTACACACTATTACACATCACGAAGTCATATTTTGGTCTCTGTATCGAATCTCGAAACCTCATTTTCATGAAAGATAATACGAGCGATCGAGAAAGAAATCTTGTTAAATCCAAAGTCTGGCAAATTCTGACATTTTTGCAACTTTTGTAACTTTTCTCAAGGATTCACATTCCCGCGTGGAAAAAGAGATCCGTTTAAGCGAAATATCAACGATCTTCGTGCGAAATGGCTACGCTCGATTACGAGCCGGCAGGCAGACGAAAGTAATGCGACGGAGATCGTCGAGCGACAAGAAGGAGACTTGCTTGAGTTGCACCGCAACGAGAACGAACGCTCGCGCGGCTCCGCTTTTCCACGGCAGGTGTGTGTGTGTGTGTGTGTGTGTGTGTGTGTGTGTGCGTGTGTGTGTGTGTGTGTGTGTGTGTGTGTGTGTGTGTGCGTAACTTGTTGCTAAGAGGCCCGCGGAAATTCGCACGCGAAACGGTGCGAATCGCCGACGATGAGGATGTGCGCACGAGCGGCGCGAATGCGGAACCAACGATCGGTCTTTGAGAAATAAAAAAGAAAAACACGTACTGAGGAAAATCGAGGAGTGCGTCGCCAAAGGGAGAAGAAGTGGAAATAGTGGCAAATTAACGTTATTGCACGTTGCGTCGATAATAAAATTCACAGACAAAAATATTAATGATGGTGAAAAACGGCAAAACAGTTAAAATAGCAAAAACAGATTGATGGCTTTCTTCATTCGGTGGGTGATGATGCATAACCGGTCTTAGTTGGTAGGACGATTTATTTAGTTAATTTTGATAGCGAATGAAACTCTAGTCTGCTAAATAAAAATACTTTACGATATCATAAAGGCTTCTGGTTTCAGCCGACAGATGTTTATTAACATTATTACTAACAAATAGATAAATCTTTTTAAAGAGATTTTGAGCAATAATTATTCTTTGATACTTTTTGACGTTCATACGTGTTTGCTCATTGACATATTTGATCAAGATAATGTGAGTAGATTTCTAGCAATACCAATTTCTTATTAATAAACGTTAGAATGCAACTTGATTAATAACGCTGGAAGTAGCCGCTGACTTTCGCATGATTAATTACATCATCAGAAACTAATGATTTCAATTGTATATTACGCAGTTCGCGTTATCTTTTATCTTCGGAGAAAAGTTTTTCTTGCTTCTTTCTTAAAACAATGTATAAAGCTATTTTGATAATTGATAATTGTTCCAATAAAATAAATTTTTTTATAATACTGTTTGCATTTGGAATTTTTTTGTAATTTATATTAAATATTAAATAATACTTAAATTACTTATAATTACTTAAAATAAGTTATCAATTAATAGTTCTAATTGACGCATTAAAATATATATTTTTTCATTTTCGTGAAATATATAAAATAAGATTTCTTTACTAAAATCTATGGAAAGTGATTAGAAAAATGATTCGAAGGTTAGTAACTCCTATTCGAATATCTCATTTGGTCAAAACGAATTGCCTTGATCTTGCCATGTAAATATAAATGAATTCAAGGAGATAATGTAAATATAAATGAATTCAAAGAGATAATGAACCGACTAAAGTATCTGACGATCCTGATGTTTCAACCTTGAAGAAGTTCTCCAATATCTCGTGGCATCTATATGCGAATTATACCCTCATGGGCCCCATGCTTCTTCATTTCTTATCACATTTCCGTTTAATTATGTTTGTGAATCATTATTTAATATATCCTCTTACATAAGAATATTAATTTTTAATGCAAATACTGCAAAATTTTTATCTCATGAAAGGATATAAATAAAAGATAAACTCAATGTATGCCATGGATGATCCTGAACGAATATGGAGAATACATATTCGTGAAAAAATATTAGCAACAGAAGACAATTTTAAAGAATATTGAAACAATAACTTATACGAAGTAACTGACAAAGTATATATATATATAAATATATATATATATATATAATAACGAAAATAATCACACTCTTTAATATTAAAACATCCATACAATTTGTTAATTTTCAAAAACCAAATATTTAAAGATTTTTCGAAGATTTTTATATTATCTATTTCTTTATTTTAACAATTTTAAGAATCATCTCGATATTAATATTAATGTAATATAAATTATATAAATTTGTGATTTGAAGAAACCGAATTTAGTTTTACAAAGATAAATTGATTTTTCTCTTCGCAATAAGCGTGATAAGAATATTATATTCAATATGACGTTTGTTCAGCTAAATCTTAAATAAAGTTCTTAGCAAGAAGTTAGCTATTACACACGAAATCAAGGTATTCCACGCTTCGGTACTCTCAAACTGTTTATTTCAACTAATGTACCTCGTGTCGACCGGTATAGCATAAGCCGCTTACATCGGGAATGATGTAAGTCCAGTTCTGAAATGCTATGAATGTCCGTAAAACAATGCGGGTGGAAAAACGCGTGTACCTATTATCAACTTTTAGGTAGCACAAAGATTAGAAAAACATTAACTTCGTATCATTCTCAAGATAAATGGCTCGTTAAAAAAATAACATAAAAGACTAAAAAAGCTTGTAAGACTAAATAAGACTAAAATAACATAAAGACTAAAAGCTAATAAGACTAAATCTTTCATTTTATAATTTTTTAAAAAGATTTCTTGATTTACCAAGTATTTTTTATTTATCTCAAGTCGTTGAAATAAATAATCAGAGAATTCTTATCTGCGGACGAATATATCGTCAACAACGTTTCAGATTGCAAATCCCAAAATGTACTTGGTTATATTGTACCATCAATGGACTTTGTACAAAAGTTTCACTAAAAAAAAATTTTAATTTGTGAAAATCGCTTTAGGGTAATTTATTTTATTCTTTAGGGTTATTATGTTTTTCTTTTTTTCGATGTTAAATCATGATTATTTTTGATGAATCAATTTTTATATTTGTTGCAGATTTAGATTTAGTATAATTTTACCGCGAAAAGTTTTTTAATTTATTGTCTTCCGATTTTTCGATTCCAAGTTAATTATTATTTTCCTTTTTCTCGATTCTGTCTTAATGTGTGCAGTCATTAGACGTAGGCGAAGAGTATTGATTTTCTAATTAGTAAGATTTATCTCTTAATGATCTCTTAATGATCTTTTAAAGATTCTCTATTCATCCACGTATCCAAAATTTAATATATCTCTTCTATATTCTTATTACTTCAAAAAAGTTTTTAGGATTATATTTATTATCTTACCGCTCGCGTATCGATTTTTTTCTACGATTTTTTCTACGATTTATACACGTACAATATTTCCTCAATTTTGAAAATTTATTATTTTATTTCGTAATTTCTAGATTTCAAAATTCTCTTTTATAGAAAAAAGGGACTCCAATAAAAAAGAGATTGTAATTTGAATTCGTACCCTATTACTCTCGTTCTCGATTCAAGCGGACTTTACTCGAGTACGAGATGGAATAGATTATTTTCAAGCTAGCTATATAAAATCTCTCGAAATGTCCGCCCGTTCTTTAAACTGCGCATTATTATAAATCTGTTATATCGCGTGATTGAAGAACCATACTTGACTCAGGAGGAACATACCTGATGGTTCACATCAGAAAGTTTCTCATGTTTAGTCCATCACTGTCTCTATCGTACCAAGGACACACAGAGATCAAGCGAAAAAGGCAGGAACACCTGGCCCGGTACCAGATGAGACCACCACCGCACTCACTGTACAACTGCTGTATAGAGGACAGATCAGCAAACGCACCTTTCGTGCCCCTCCATCATTTTGATTCCCCTACATCGCCAGCCTCTGCGACCCCTCCATGTGTGTAACCGGCGAACAAGATGCCTGCGAATGTGATTGGCCCGTTCAAATCCACATTGTGACGTTGTGAGTCAAACCGTCGCAGCGTCATACTGAGAGAAATGAGAGAGAGAGAAGAAGGGGGAAGGAGAGCGAAAGAAAGAGAGAGAGAGAGAGAAAGAGAGAGGACTAGTTCTCCATCTTCATCTACCTTGATAAACCACGTCTCATACTTTATTCTTCTACCTACATCTTCTACTGGTCGTTCGTTCGTTGTTCGGTCCGTCTCGGTTCCATTCGAGTCTACCTTGGGTATCTCGCCGGTGTGGGTTTCCCTACCACCATCCAGCAGATCCGTAAGCGAAGCGTCGGAAGTCTCTCCTTCCTCACTCTCCTTTTTTTCTCTTCTTCTCCCTCTTTTTCCCGCCCGTGCCGATCTCTCGTTCTCGCGTTACAACTCCTCGCCGGTTCCGTGCCGGTCTCCCGGTCCCGCTCTTTGGCGTCCTTCGCTTTATTCTTGCGTCCCTCTTTGAGGGTAATCGGTCCGATCTTCCTTCTTTTTTTTCTTTTAATTGGGCCGCGATCGCAGGTTCATCCACGGCGGATCCACGATGGACGGCGACGTCGACGAATGTCCTCGCAGCCGTGCGCCTTCGCGACCCTTCTTCTTGTTCTCAAACTTGTTCTTGCGGACACCGTTTGCCTCCTCCGCGTTCATCATGTATGGCTACCCCGACGTTTGGAGCACGGCATTTCTGCGATCTAGTTCCGCAAACGTTTATCTTTATCCAACTAAAGAAATTTATCTCATGATAAGGTTGATTTCCAATTTTTTATTAGTTTCTTTTAAGATAATCTGGTTGGATTTTAATGTAATCGCGATAATCAGATTCTTATTATAAAATTTCTCGTTAGATGTACTTACAATTAGATTAAATTAGACTCTTAGTCATTCATCGATTCATATTTTGTTCAAAATTTGATCCATGATTTTTCTCCTCATTTAGAGCAGCAATATCCTAAAAATCTCTATAAAATTTTATTAAGATTTGCAAATGTTAAAACTTTCAGTTTTAAAATAATATGTATTAATAATATAACGTATTAAATATATAATGTATATCTATATAATATATAATATCTCTATAATATATAATACGTATATATAATATATAAAACAGCTTAAATATAGTTTAACTCGTTTAAAAAAAAAAAGATTAATGGCTTCTGGTTAATAAAAAGATTAAAACAGAAAGAATGAACAAAAGGCCTTGATTAATAAAATATTGTGAAATGTAATGTATTAATATATTACAATCCTAATATGAACTTAATCATTATAATATTATAAAGGCCTTACAATTTTCACTTATCTTAACATACTATACTTTGGAATACTTCATATTTACCTCGTCCTTACACAATATTATTTGACGATAAATTCTAGTTAGAATACATTACTCGTACATAAGATATCCTGATGTTAGTGATAATTTTTCGATGATATTGTTGTATATAGGCGGATATACGGAAATGCATTGTTTTATATGAAAGCTTCTTTTCGAACGATATGTCGTTTTTATATACGTGCTTCTCATTCACTACTTTCTCTACCTCTTGAATTGTCAGTAGCATTTTTCTCCTTCCATCTTTCCTCTTCACTCTTGCCTACTGGTTCTCGTCTCGCATCTCTTCCTCGTCTTCCCTTTCATAATTTTTTTACAACGGCCGTAGTCGATTCTTTTCCTCTCGATCTATTGTTTGTCCGTTGATGATCATCGACTTATCTTCTGAGATCATCTTTTTTATCTTACAGTCTCATTATTTCGTCCCTCGGCTGTCTCTCCTGGTTCTCCTGGTTTCTCTTGGTTTCCTCGTCGCCCTCGCCACTCTTGGCCCAATCTCTCCTCTGGTACCTATTCCTTTCTCCTCTGTACAGTGCCGCGGCGGTCGATTCGAGTCTTTCTCTCCGACTAGCGCACCGTCCATATTCATTCTCTTTTTCTCGTTTGCTTACATGCCCTATCTTCCTTTCTCCTCAGATCGAACTCGACTCTTCTCTATCTTGGGCACGCTCCTTCTCATCGCAGTCTGCTCTGCTGGTCGCCGGTCGACCCACAAGAGGTTCGCCGCCACCGCCGCCGCCGCCGCCGCCGCCGCCGCCGCCGCCGCCGCCGTCGCTGCCGCCATCGCCACCGCCGCTACACGGAGGGAGAACGGTTCGTTCGCCAGGTATACGAGGGAGACACAAAAAGGAAAAAAGGACACATTCCAACGGCTGTAGTTGGTCCATAACGATTCCCATACGTTGAGCGTGCAACGAACAACCAATGACCCCTCTTACCGATCTCTCGCGCCTTCGCTCTCTCCCTCGTTTCACTCCCCTTTCTCCTCACGTCGCGCTCTCGCTCTCTTCCGAATCTTTCCCCGGCTCTCTCGTCGTGCTTGCTCTTACAGGTCTTACACAGGCTCCAAGCACACGGGCTTCAGCCTCTCTCTGCCTTCTCTTCGCGCGCGTTCGCCGTCTCTCCCTCTCGCGCCCCGTCTCGCTCTCGCACGCGAGTCTCATATGTATATACTGGGTGATCGAGGTGAAGGCTCGACCTCGTATGTACCTAGATAGACACGACTCTCGCGAGGAGGATCTTTCGACGAAGATCTACCGACGTCACGATCCCGTCGGCGGGACTTGGCGTTCTCTCTCAAGCGCTTTCGAGACGCGTCGATACCACACGAGATGAATCTCTCGATGGGGAATCCCGAGGTGAATGAATTTTCGACACGGCTCTCGTCATGATCGAAGCATACAAGAAGCGTATGTATACGCGCGTGTTAAGAAATGTAAATTTCTCTATGCTGAATAATCCAGACGAGCGTCTGGATACGCGCGCGCGCGCGCACCGTTGCAGCTTTGGTTCCTCTCTCGAAAAGAACATCGTTGCAGCGAAGGGTCGGATCTTCACGCGTTCCCCTTTATCTCCGCGACCCTTGCCAAATGCATCAAGCCGTTCAACCGTCCCGCCGTACCTTGCGTGCGTGGGAACTTCTGGCGTTTATTCAACCGCCAAGACTTTTACGCTCTTCGGCGAACGAATTCCGCGCGATTGTATCGCGCCCGTACATTGATTTCTCCTCTGCTCGACGCGCGGAATTCGGAACGCGAAATGAATTCGCTCGCGGTGCCGCGGAGCCGCGGATAATAATCAGCCGGCGCAATATGTTGCGGAATGTAATTGCGGCTCGGCGAGCGCGCGATACTTTGACCCGGATGCATCGCTCTGACCGCAGAGAAAGAGGAAGAGGAGAGAAAGAGAGAGAGAGAGAAAAGAGAAAAATTGCGACACGCGACTCTCCACGTCCGCACGCTTCTCGCTCATTAATCGGCGGGCTGTGCGTGACGCGGAAAGCAATCCGCGTTACTAAACTCGGAACGGCTTGTTGAAACCGCGGGGTCTCGTACTTGACTTTCCGGACTACTCCTCCATGAGGGTCCATCAGGAATGCTCATTCTCCATCGCGCGCGCGCGAGCGTCTTCGCGCCGAGAGCGCGGCGTACGAATGTAAAAGCCGTATCGTATCTTCCATTACAACCGGCGTTCTTCGACGATTACATATACCGCGGATATCGCGATAGCCACTATATTACCGTTCGCGCAAAAAATAAGCATCCGCCGTGGCCTTTCGACGTTTAACGTAAATTCCGCCGAATGGCTTCTGCGGGCTTCGTTAATTTCATGGCGAGACACCTCCGCGCGAGCGCTGCGCATACGCTGGCAGCATGGAAATTGACGACTGAGTTGCTTTGAATACAAATGGTTTAACGAACAAAGCGACGCCGTAATAACGCTTGTCCGACCGCTTTCCTTCGGCGGGGTCGATTCGAACGGAAATCTCTTACCCATGTAGAAGATAAACCAGAAATAAGTCGGTAGTTTGGTCAGAAATACAGAAATGATAGTATTAGCTTGCAATTTGATCAATATTATTAATTCTAGTAAATTCTAGTTAATCTGACGTCGATCCTTTTTTTGGATCTCCAGTAACGATCTAGAAAAAGAAATTTTTCTCTAGAAAGAAGATTTTCTAGAATTTCACGGATTCTCTAGAAAATTTTTTTTTTTTTCCGGAAAAGATAATTATTCTAGGACTCTTAGGGAAGTTTTGGAAAATTTTCTCGTCGACATGCAGCAATTACATTAACGTATTATTCACTTTGACGTGTCATTCAGACGTTTTCATTTTGTGGGAAAGGCGACGCCGTGACGGAAGGTATGCCGCACGGTCGACGAGTGCACAAGCATAATTTCAACGTGGGTAGAGTTCATGATGAAAGTGTAATTTGCACGCGACGATCGACGTGCACGAGCTCTCGCCGAACGATTTGAGTTGGATTGTTCGGAACAAATTTTTAATATTCTGAAATATCAACAGTGAGACATCTCTTGTGTGTGACGAACTCCTGAACTCGTTCTTCAATCGATCAACAACTTGCAAATTTAACTCTAGAGCAAAAATAAATTTTCATTTACATAACCAGACAAAAAAGTTCCAAAAAAAAGTTCTAAACTGGCAACACTGCGCATACTGAGCTGATAATATTGTTGCATCACGTATGCGATACGTAGCTTAAACATTTCTTTAGTGTATAATATTTCATCAAGATTCATCATAATTTGTTGTATATTATCGTTTCTTTTGTATATAACGGAACGTCATATGTCAAAGATATTAAAATCGGAGCAAAATATTAAGTTCTTTTACAAATTTAAAAGGAAAAATTTGAAATGCTCCAAACTATGCATGGCAATTACTTAAAACATTGAAAAAGCTCGAAATAATCATCACCAATGCATAAATTATTGGACAATTGACGCTAAAAATGATGGAAATTGAGTTCGACATTAAATAAAAGAATTTTAATATCTCTTTTGTTTTCTTTTTTAACAATTACTGAAATTAAGAAATATTGAGAATTTTTCGAAAGAGTTCAACATATAATTAGATTATATAAGTAAATCACCTTAAACAAAAAATCTTGTCAAAAAATAGTACATAAAAAAAGATAACAAAAAACAAAGAAAGGTAAATTAAAAGTCAGTAAAAAAGTACAAGATTTTAATTTTTTTTACATCGGAAGGTAAACTTTTTCGAAATGTAATGCGAAAAGGAAGCGTTTTTCAACATTAGCGTATTAACAAACAAACAAAAATACTCAGCAATTTCTTAATATTCTCTATATTTAAAAAATTGTATATTACATATTTAGAAATTTTCCATTAAAAAACTATGAAAATGTTCAATAGAACAAAATTTTTAAAAAGCATAAAAAATTGAAAAATGAAATGAGACTCACTTGCTTTTATACTGTAGATGACGTTTGATATATTCACTAGAAATATGAAAACGTTTTTTAAGTAGCGAGCTGCGAAGTGTGAAGATACACAACTGTGTTGTGTATTTCGAGGTATTGCCTGGTCTTCTTCACAGTATCCGATTTCCTTTCTGCACACGATAATTAATTTTAACGATTTAAGATTATACCCATCTGGTAATCTTATACGTCGTCGAGCCTGTAGGATACGTATCGTGACCTTGCAAGCATGCTATTCGGTTTCTTCTGTCTCTGAAAATCCCCGAATAAAAAATTATATTATTATTTATCATTCGCTATCAAACATAATCGCCGCATAGAAGAATCCTTCTATAGAGGATTATCGCGGAATGATAAACCTAGTCGCTTTACGACAGGCGCGAACGTAATGAATCACAGATGTAATCGGCAAAGTTACGAATTGCACGCCTAGAGAAGAAATAGGAACGTGAGAAATAAAATCGCGATCGCAACTTCGATCTATTCGCAGGCGCGGTCTCTAATTCGATTCGATTGCTCTTCGAGAGAATCGGTGGGATCCAAGTTTGGCGCTGTTTGCGCAAGATTACGTCTTCGATACGTAGCGTAATTTCGCTCTTCCGTTGTCCGACTCAATGGTCGTAAACGATGATTAAGTATCGACGATTCGCC